TACATTATGTATCTTCGACCTCCGGCGTTGTTCTGTGTTGGACTGGACCATTGGACATGGGCTTCAGATCGTTCTGGGCATAATGTGTCCATGTGTTATTTATTCAAGGAGAAGCATTCATATTAAAATGTATTTTTTTGTAATATAAAGAGTTTATTCTATGATGTATTCATCCCAGATTTAATTCGTTGGTCTACGTGCCTTTCCTTTTTTTTGTGTGTGTGTGTGTGTGTGTTTTTTTTTGCAAATAAAATTTTTAACGTTTTTTTTTACAAAGAACTTTTCGGCTTTTTACCCTCTGTTGCAAAAAAAATAAAACCCTACACACACACACACACACACACACACACATACACACACACAATACCGTTCGTTTCCAAGTTGGGGGGAAAAAAATCATTTACCTTTTATTTACCTTTTATTTTATTTTATTTACCTTTTGGAGAGCCTTTGGTTTGGGACTCTGTGGGTTTTGAAGAATCGAGTTTGTCCCTTCTCCATCGGTGCATTAAACTGGACCGTTTCGCACGCGAAACAGTGCAACTGCAAAAGACACAGTCACTACACTTCACAGTACGTCCTGCGAAGCGCTTTCAGGCGTCCGGACGACGTGAAAGGCACCGGATCAAACTCAAGGATTATTTTCTTAAACGCCTCCTATCATCTGTTCACACAACGGGGCTTTTGTTATATTTATTATTTTCTTTTTATTTTTTTATTTTTTTATTTTTATTTTATTTCATTTTATTTTTTTTGGATTTCATTTTGAGAAGTAAGTGAACATCGACCCAACTCTTTGCCAAACTGTCGTTTCACGGAACGTGTGTGTGATGAACGGACACCCTCACGAGAAACAGAGGGTCCGACCTCCTTTTATCATGACATCTGTCAAACAAATGCAAGTGATATGATTATTTATCATAATAATATCACTTTGCATTTTATTGGGACAGATATCACGTCGTCGAGGATGGAGAGGGAGGAGGAGGGGGATGTGGGGGGGGTGGGGGTGGGGGGGGAGGATGGAGAGGGAGGAGGAGGGGGATGTGGGGGGGTGTGTGGGGGGGGGGGATGGAGAGGGAGGAGGGGGATGTGGGGGGGGGGTGTGGGGGGGAGGATGGAGAGGGAGGAGGGGGGATGTGGGGGGGGGTGTGGGGGGGAGGATAGAGAGGGAGGAGGGGGGGTGTGGGGTGGGGTGTGGGGGGGGAGGATGGAGAGGGGAGGGGGGGATGTGGGGGGGAGTGTGGGGGGGGAGGATGGAGAGGGAGGAGGGGGGGGATGTGGTGGGTGGGGGCGGTGTGGGGGGGGAGGATGGAGAGGGAGGAGGGGGGGGTGTGGGGGAGGATGGAGAGGGAGGAGGGGGATGTGGTGGTGGGGGGTGTGGGGGGAGGATGGAGAGGGAGGAGGGGGGGGATGTGGGGGGGTGTGGGGGGGAGGATGGAGAGGGAGGAGGGGGGATGTGGGGGGGGGGTGTGGGGGGGGAGGATGGAGAGGGAGGAGGGGGGATGTGGGGGGTGTGGGGGGGGAGGATGGAGAGGGAGGAGGGGGGATGTGGGGGGTGTGGGGGGGGGAGGATGGAGAGGGAGGAGGGGGGGGATGTGGGGGGGGGGTGTGGGGGGGGAGGATGGAGAGGGGATGGTGGGATGGTGTGGGGGGGAATAACTATTTGAACGAGTTAGATAGAATTCACCTTAAATTCTGATGTATTTGATCATCTGTTTGGTCTGGACACAGTGCTCCCATATGGGCTGCTAATATAATCCTCCCCCCCACCCCACCCCCACCCCACCCCTTGAGATGGGGTTGGGGTTTCGGTTGGAGTGTTTCACTGAATCCTGTGTCTGATGGAGTCAGGGGGTACAGGCAATCCTGTTGTCTCTACACGTGGCTGGGATAGAAGGGGGGCTTTAACCCTCTGTGGTGGTGGGGGGGGGGATGAAAAAAAAATCTAATTCCACTAACACAGCATCATCCATCTCAATTGGAGATAGGCTGACAGGACCCCATCAAGCCAGGGGGAGAAGGCACATCAGTTTCATCCTATTGATTTAAACCCCTGATTTAACAGCCGAATGAAACCACCTTCCACACCTGGAGACTGCAATGATACTGCAGTGACTCAACAATCAGTCGTGAATTTAAATCAATCTACTTTCAATCGTGTGTGTTAAAAAAGACTATTTTAAAATCCCCCCCAACCATTTAAAAACCTACTTAGATCTCATGTTCTATGGCTACAGTTTGCAATACATGCTCACACTATTAAAGGTGAGAGAGAGAGAGAGAGACTGTATGAGCTAATAATAATAATAATAATAATAAATCGACCTTTGCTTTTATAGTACTCTTCAGCTATTGCAGATTGTAAGATGTGTGTGAACTAAATGTTTCTGATGGTACCGAATGTTTGACGCTGTTTCATTGTGAAAGCTTTGTTTCCCTTCAAAACTCCAATCGCCAATTGTATACACTGGAGAGTGTTGGCTTAAGTCATTAATTGACAAGAATGATAACAGGACGTGTCAAGGCGGTGATGAATGTGACGCGAAACCTGATGGATGACAAACAAGGCAGTTATCTGACATCTTGACAAGGAATAATCATCAGCTGGTTCCCAACATTGAATGCAGTACAGGAGGGCAAGCACAGAGGGCCTAATGGGGAGTTTGTTTGAAATGCTTACCTGCCCATAACCCTTACTATAATTTCAACAGATGCCACAACCGCTTAAAGATGTAATAATGGTAATAATATTAATAATAATAATCCTTGCATTTGGTATAATGCTTATTGTCCAATCATTGGAATTGGATAACATTCCCTTAGCATCTGGTTCGATGGGGAAAATCAAACATACTGCACCTCTTGAATGGGATCTCTGTACTTGATAGACACGAACATAACTTTTAGAACAGCGTATAAGACGGTTATGTCATTAGGTTTGGTGCTTTCATCACCAGGGCCCAGGTTCAAATCCCGGTCAGGGAAATCCGTTTGAGGTGTCAGCTTGGCTCAGTTGATAGCACTCTTGCTTCTGATGTGGAAGTTTGTGGGTTCAAGCCCCACATCATTACTTTGAGCTCACAGTCTCGGCTAAAATGCCAATGCAGTGTTGGGGGTGTGCCGCATTGTTGGAGATGCTGTCCTTCGGATGAGACATTAAATCAAGCTACCGTCTTGCTTGGTCATGTGAACTTTACAGATCGATGGCGCTGTTTGAAACGAGAAGGGAGTGTCTCCCGGTGTTCAATCCCACTCGTAAAATTGCTCAGCCACGTCATGGCTGTTTACATAGAATACACAGCATAGAAACAGGCCATTCGGCCCAACTGATCTATGTTCCACATGAGCTTCTTTCTGCCCCTCCTCAATTAGGCCTATCGGCATAACCTTCTATTCCTTTCTCCCTCATGTACCTATCTAGCTTTCCCTTAAATGCATCAATGCTATTCGCCTCAACTACT